TAACTAGAAGGCACAATAGTACTCCACAACCAATCATTCAGTAAGCTTTCTCTCTTTTATTCTTATTAAGTTGGTTTTCTAGGAATTTTATTTCATTTTCTATAATAAGTCTCTGGATCTCTTATTTTTTCCACCATTTTTTCATCCTCCATTGTGCCTAGAAATTGATTGTTTTTTTGGGGTCTAAATTGCCTTTGTCATTTTTGCAATGTGAACCTAGGAAAAATAATATTGTAAATTCAGAAGCAAAATAAGTTTGGCTATAACTTGAAGGATTTTCTGCTTCTTTTCTTCATAATTGTGTGGCTTTTTTGTTAAAGTTCACATTTGATAGTAAAACCACAAGCAAATGATGCAGTTTTTATTTTTTGTATAAGTTCTTGACAAACTTCTCCAATTTGATCTCAAGTTTCTTGGTCAACAGCATTGATGTTATTAGGCAAATGATCTTTGGTGGAGATAGTTATATTTCCTATTTCAATGTGTAATTTAGCAACAATTTTACTTTTTTCTGCAACAATAGTACAGTCAAATCTCAATAAACCGAACTTAATGGTTTGTGCAAAATAATAAAAATATAACTTTCTAAGCTGAATATGATCATAAAAATTCGTCTTATGATGATAAAATTCGGTTTAAAAATAGTCGATCACCCAACAATCAAGTTTAGTCAAGTTTAGTCAAGATGATTATTACTAAATTAGGCTTTTAACCCTTTACGCTGCCAGCCCTGTTTGTATCGTAAATCGAATTTTGATAAGCCAATCCTATTTTTGTGATTCCCAAAAGTTCAGCTTATCGAGATTTGACTGTATTGTTATTTGTCAATTAGAAAAGCTTTTTTGCATTCTCAGCCACTTCTGGGTAAAATTTTTTTCCCAATACACTTTTGATTCCTACACTTCCATAACCTTCTTTATATTTAGGAACTATTTGCATATAAAAAATGGGGTGTATTTTGGGTGCCAATTGGTGATATTGGTATACTAACTCTGGGTACGTATTACTTTACCAACAATCATTTTACCAACAGTTCATTTTACTGACAACACACGGCGTGCCATTTTAGCATTTTATTTGTTTGTTTGATCATGTGGAGATTAAATGGCGCACTGCGTGTTGTCAGTAAAATGAACTGTCGGTAAAATGAATGCCTCCCACTAACTCTATAGCCTGCTGGATTATATGCCTTGTCAACTTTTTTTACAACATCCCTAAGCACAGGCAAAATATTTGATCATTCTTGCCTAGTTATTTCTTCAAAGGTGCCAGCATGATGTTTGGTACATAATGCTACATGACCTTTAGAATTTCGTCTTAAAACCATCCCAGCACTTATACTATTCCCTAAATCAGAGACTTGAGATTTAAGCATTCCTCTTTTTTGTAATTGCATTTTGTCACACATATGACAAACTATTTCACTTTCCTTCAGCACTTTTAGGACAAATATAATTAGGTGCGTTATCATCTTTTCAAGTAAAGTGTTTGTTTTGTTTACCCCTTCCAATTTTCTGGTTACAATTATGGCATTGGGAACATTTATGTCCTTGACTGTCTTCATAAGCAGTGATATCATGATTTTGCATTGAGGACATCAAATAGTAATCCTATCTCACCTTCCACTCCCTTTTGATTAATAATTCTTGTTCTGAAAGGCCAATCAAAATTTTCTTTATTTTTAACCTTTTTTAAGGTTTCTCTAAAGATTTTCCTTTTATTTCTTTCTCAACTTGCAATTTTGTTATCAAATTCTTCTTGAATTAAGTTTTCAGAACAATCTCAACAACAAAATTCAGTATGTTCTTTATTTTCTTCATCTCATCAATTAATTTCTAAACCTTCTTTATAATTTTTACAATTAAAACATTATTTTTTTTTTATTTGAATTATGATTTACAGTATATATTTTCAAAAAAAAGACTAATTAACACAAATAAAAAATTTGTGTAATTTTTTTTTTGCAGTTCTTTCTGTATTTTAATCAGATCTGTGATATTTTCTTATTTTGGCAATTTTAAAGTCATACAGCAATGGTTTCGTTACTTATACACAGTGGGTCTTGATTTAACGGACCTTGATTTAGCAGATTTAGGGGTTTAACAGATAAATTTTCAAAACCAAATTTTTCTATAATTATTTTATCTTGATTTAATGGATTTAATGGATTTTCATATATATTCAATTTAGCAAATATTTTTTAAAAATCCATATATGTCACTTATAATAAAATTCTCTCAATATTACAGATAATGATGATTCTTGCCTTTTTTGGATAGCCTAATTTTATAATAATACAGGAATAAGTGTATCATAAAATAAGTGTAATGATGTATTATTAATATTAAATATTAACAACATTTTAAATTGAACATATTGTTAACTATTTCTTGGCAATGACACTTGTATATAATGTCATTTTTTTTATTTCTTTAAATGCTGATGAATTTATTATGAAATGACAGAACAAGAAATTGTAAACATAGTGTTGGGGCAATCTGAAGTTAAAGATAATGAGGGTGTTGATAAGATAAGTGAGCCAATTGTGTATTGAAGTTAAAAAGAGAAAATTTCTTATTGAAGCACCCAAGAAGCAAAACAAATGTTGCATTGATGAATTTATGAGTTGACAATGATATTGTTATTATCATTATGTTATATTTTGTTTTTTATGTATATACAAAATAAAAAAATTTTATTTGTATACAGTCAAACCCCTCTAAGTGCACACTCTCACTCATTCCCAAGCTTGGTAATTAGAGATAAGTGCACACCCCCTCTCCCCTGCACTGCACGGTCATTTTCCATTCCCAACTATATAAAACTCCCTCTCTAAGTGCACGCCCGTGACTTTCACGTGATCATCGTCCAATAAAAATTGTGCGACGTTATAAATTAAATAATTTTTCCTTGTTTCCTTCGTTGTGTTAAAAAAAAAAATGTATAAAGAATTGATTTTTGTAAGAGATGATAAAGAATTAAAATTTTATACTTAGTAAATGATGATAAAGAATATAAAAGAATTAAATTTATACTTAGTAAATGATGATAATGAATAAAGAATTAAATTTATTATTAGCAAGAGATAAAGAATTATTTTGTAACAGGCGGGTAAAGAATTGTTCATTTTTATTAAGTGACAAGAAACTAAAGAATTCTTTTTTTTTTTTAATAGATACAAAGGTTATTGTTATTAGAACAAAGAACAAAGAAAACAAGTAGAGAAGCTTATGCAGTCAAAATTATCATAAATAAGACATGAATCAAGAAATTTATTTAATAACTAAACTCTTGTAATAAATTTTAAAAAATAAAACTTCCATTATAACTTAACCTATATATTCTTATGTATCCAACCATCTAATTTTTACACTCACACTTATCTCATTAAAATATTTTATTCCTTTAGTACTTTTAAATAAAAATGCCTCCAAAGAGTAAAATAACTTTATCTAATTCTCAAAAATATGAATTTTGTTTATTTGCAAACTCTAATAATAAAATGACCAGAAAAGAATATGTTGGTTGGATTGAACAAAAATGGGGAATTAAAGTGGTTGAAACAACTATAACAAGAATTCTGCAAAAAAAAAGAAGAAATACTTAATACTGAAGTTACTAATCCAGATACCAAAAGACACAAAAATCTAACAGTTCCTGAACTTGAACTTGCTCTTAAGGAATTTATTTTAATTTATCAAAACAGAGTAATCTTAAGCGATGCTATTTTAATTGAAAAAGCCAAGGAAATAGCAAATGGATTGGGGGTACCAGAAGAAACATTGGCTTTCTCTTCTGGATGGCTCCATAGGTTTAAAAAACGTAATGGAATTCAAGTACGAAAGCTTCAAGGAGAGGCATCATCAGCTGATCTAAATGCAATTACTGAAGCCTTACCATTATTAAAAAATATGTGTAGTAATTATCCACCTGAAAGAATATACAACATGGATGAAACAGGTCTTTTTTATAGATTAGAACCAGATAGAACATTAGCCA